CCAATGGTTTTTTTGTATTTTAACCAGGTTTGATTCGCGGTCTTGCCAAGTTTCTTCCCGGATGAACATTTTCTCTCTTTCTCCTGTGTTTTTCCTTAGGTATCCTTTCCAGTCATTGATTTTAATTGGTATGGACTTATATGGGAAATCCACGGACTTTTTAGGGATGTCCATACAAGTTCCAGTACTGCTGGGAGATTTCGATACGTATCAACCCCACATATTTCAACAGATCTGGACGATTGCCTTAGCGAAACAGTATAGGATTTATAGGAACAGATCAATGCAATCAGAAATGCAATTGCAACCTCCGTGAGTACACCCCATCATGAACGATAAAATGTACACTCTTCTGTTGCACTAGTTCGTCTCAAAATAAACCAGTGCGATGGTTGGCCTACCAATCAGTTGATTGTAATGCCTTGCTCAATCTAGAAAGTTTTAATACAGAAAACAGACGTTGAGGCTCGAACAAAATTTCTCTAAAAACTAGTGTAAAGATTCGTATTCGACTTAAGCGCCACTAACGGCGACTTCCTCACTTAAAACCCTCTGGCGTTGCACAATTTACACTAGACACTGAATGCTGGTAGCGCCAAATGGCAATTTTCAACAGAAAATTTATGGATACTAGCGCCAAATTGTTCGAAAGTGGAAAATTTATAGAGGAAATCAGGAGATGCTAGCGCCACGTAACAGCGATGTTCCCACTTATCTTTACACAACTTTCTGACCGAAGTTGGACGTCTGTTATCTGTTGTTTAAGTAGGTACCGCATGACTACATTAAGTAATTTGCTGTTTAAAAAGATGCCATGGCCGTGCAGATGAACAACAGCAACCACAGGGTAGATGAGACATCATAATCTGCGATACTATAGGCTTCGGTAATGTTTTCGAGTTTGCGTACTTCTGAGTCGATCAGAACTGTTTCGATGATCTTGTTTCTTGGGTGGGAGTAAACTTTCTTCCGTTTGAGTTCTGGGTTTGATTTTGTCGGGGAGCATTTTTGGCGAAAATTTCGTCCATCACCGATAATGAGAATGAAGCTTAATGTATGCCATGAACCATGGTCATAAATTACAAAAATTGAAAATGTAAACACAATTTCAAATGTCTAACTTCAGGGTTGCCAAAGTCGTGGGATATTGACACCTTGATTGATACACTTTGACCTACTTCGGAATGATTGGCACAACGCTTGGCACAGCTTTTGGCACTGCCAAAGCTCTTGGCACAGATTAAGGTGTGCAGAGTTGAATACCCCTTGGCTTTAAACGTAAATCAAAGCACATCCAAGCAATCTAACATCATCGATGCGAGATTTGTCATTAACAGACTTTCGCGCGATATTGACCAAAATAAACATTTGACGTTTTTTTTTTTTAGATATGGGTATTAGAGATACAAACAATTTCTTTTGTATAGGCATGCACCTTAGAAAGTTTAAAAATTCTCGTTAAGATGATTTTCATGAGAAATTTGAAATAAAAAAAAAAGTAAGTGATTGTAACTATATTTTTTCCAGAAAATTACTCTTAAACGAGAACGTTAATAACTAGCAGAAATGTTTCTTTGAAAAATTTTCAAAAATAAGAATGTTAGTTTTTGAATAACAATTACATTTTAAGCACAAAAACTTCACCGAAGACTCTAAACGTCTAAATATCAAAATAAATCTAATTATTATTTATTTTTCGCCATCATCATCTAAATTCCAATGAAAAATATGGTTTAGAACGAATTTTCATGCAATAAATTGAATTTGATGGTTTCATTTTTAAGATCTATAATAGACTGAAAATAATTCTTCTTAGGAGTAATTCAAAAGAGTTCTATGGAAAATTTTTGGGTAATTCCATGGAGAATTCCTAGAGAAATTGAATTTTATATTCCGAGGATAGTTCCAACCAAATTTTTAGGGAACTTTCAAAGGAATTCTGAGGAGTATTCCAGGGATATTCCGGTGATCATTTTTGGAAAATTAAACAAATTATTCCAAGGAAATTATGAGGAGCAACTTGAGCAACACAAAAGGAATCCCTATGGTAATTTCACGGGAATTTCACGAGAATACTTGCATGCTGAGAAGAACTCCAAGTGAATTATTAATATAATGAATGACATTACAGAGTTATTTCAGAGAGTGTTCTGCAGAAGATGTATCATGGAAGAAAATATAAGAGAATTAAATTTCAAGATGCAAGGCTTAGGAAAATAAAAATGAAAATTCTGAGATATTTTAAGATTTCAAGCAAAGACAATTTATATGATCCTTGTTAAGACTGATCCACTTAGATTCCGGATGCTTTATTTTTTCTATAGTAGCGCCTCTTGTGATCGGCTTTAGAATGTGTTGACAGTGATTTGTTTGGAAAGTACGCGTATTTCAGTGGTCAACGTTTCGTCTCGATACGTGCAGTACCTATTATAAAAATAATACTAGATGGAAGACGAGAAAATAAAACTGATCCTGCACACCGTTTTGTTGGTGATGCAAAGCTTGGTTTTGAGTCCACGCGTCCAGTGAATTGAAATATGGAATGCATAACCATCAGGCGTGAACCAGGATGAGCATTTTGCCCCGCAGTATTTGGGAAAAAGGTTTCTTAAACAAGAATTTAACAATTTTAGCTAACCATGTGAATTGTAATACCTTGTCAATAGCCTAATTCGACATTTGGATGGCTTTGCACTTACATTTCGATTCATTTTGTGGATTAAATGTGAATCTTCTCCCATCTCTCTTACTAATAAGTTTACCGGTAGACGACCAATCATACCAACTCACAGTGGTTCAAAACCCCCCAAAACGTGCGTTTTTTTATTTTTCGGTATGAAAACGACATTTTAAAAGGATAGTGTCTTGAGAAGAGTTGCAAAATTTTTAAAGGGCTATCGTTTGGTGCTAAGATATTGCTGATCTATCCACCTAGAAGGGCAGGGCAAAATTAAAATTTTACAAACTTGCTCAAATCATGTTGGTGTCTTGAGCAAAGTTGTAGATTATGTCAAATGAAACAACTTTGCTCAAGACACCAACTTCAATAAACGATTGCGTAACGAGTTAACGAACGTTTTCTTTAAATGACCCCCCAAAAACAGTTTTTTTAAATAACTTTTTTGGACGCGATTTTATCAACAAGGTTTGTTCTAAAAAGTTATTTGCAATCACAAAACACACATTTGACCCGAAGACACTTTACCTCTCTGACCATAACTGTCAAAGTTATGAACAATATTATAGTCAAAATACGCATTTTTCACGTCGACACACCATAAAAACCGGCAAAAACCGGCAAACCAAACAGCTTCCATTTGAAAGATACGCTTTCAAACTATAAAACATCATAGGTTTTATCTTGTTCTGTGATGTTCTTCTATTGATTTATCTTCATTCAAAGAGGAGCGTATTTTCCTCATACAGCATTCCGGTTTTACCTTTGGTCTTCAGTTTGCCATTCTACTAACACATTCACATCTTTATATAATACACAATGTTTACCGAGTTTATGTGAGAACTAGACAAAAAATAAATTACAGTTTTTGATCAACCACGTGCTGCTTAGTTTCAGTTTGTTTGTGCTGGCAATTCGTACCGTTCAGTTTATTGTGTTAGACGATCTTTATCTTAAAATCTAAAATGGAGTCCGAAAAGATGTGCAACCTTTCAGGTACGTAAAAATAATAATATTGATACTTCCATTTTGCTGTATACCTAAAATGCAATGTAATTTGTTAACACAGAGGGTATTGATGTTTTATAGTTTTATAGTTTGAAAGCGTATCTTTCAAATGGAAGCTGTTTGGTTTGCCGGTTTTTGCCGGTTTTTATGGTGTGTCGACGTGAAAAATGCGTATTTTGACTATAATATTGTTCATAACTTTGACAGTTATGGTCAGAGAGGTAAAGTGTCTTCGGGTCAAATGTGTGTTTTGTGATTGCAAATAACTTTTTAGAACAAACCTTGTTGATAAAATCGCGTCCAAAAAAGTTATTTAAAAAAAAACTGTTTTTGGGGGGTCATTTAAAGAAAACGTTCGTTAACTCGTTACGCAATCGTTTATCGAAGTTGGTGTCTTGAGCAAAGTTGTTTCATTTGACATAATCTACAACTTTGCTGAAGACATCAACATGATTTGAGTAAGTTTGTAAAATTTTAATTTTGCCCTGCCCTTCTAGGTGGATAGATCAGCAATATCTTAGCACCAAACGATAGCCCTTTAAAAATTCTGCAACTCTTCTCAAGACTCCATCCTTCTAAAATGTCGTTTTCATACCGAAAAATAAAAATCGCACGTTTTGGGGGGTTTTGAACCACTGTGCAACTCAGCGACTGAGATTAATTGACTCAGAGAATTTTCTTTCCATACGAAATTTCCTCAGATTTGAAAAAAAAACTGCAGTTTTTCACAAGCTATGAGTAACTGCAGTTTATTCCAAATCTGAGTAAATTTCGTATGGAAAGAAAATTCTCTGAGTCAATTAATCTCAGTCGCTGAGTTGGTATGATTGGTCGTGTAGATTTCCGATCATGAGTCACAACAAAATCAGCGTAATTAGATTGTTAATATTTTCCACTTGAAGACACGAAGATCGCTGCTCATGTTTTAATAATATTACATACTGAGTTTATTGACCAATATCAATATGCACAAGATTGCCGATTGCCGACTGCTGTTCATCGTCACATCTGGTGAAGCACTACATCTTCTTCTCATTGCTAATTTTTTAGAAATTACGTCCCAACTGGATCTTTACACTTGTCCTTAAATTCGGTGTTTTTCAGCACCTTCACAGTTTGTAAATAGTTAAATAACTTCTTCTGCTTCTGTATCCGTATATTGCATGACAAGCCCAATGATACTCTGTGCTTAGAATTGTCGAGAAAATTCTCGAATCGGGTTGGTATCTTTACATCAGGCATCTTTACTCTAAACACGCTATGCAACTACCTACTTTAACACTTTGGATAAAACCATAACGATTATTTCACTCACCGTTTATGAATCGATAAATCGTTTCAAGGCTAAATCCAACCAGGAATCCACAAAAATGCGCTCGGATACCGACAGAACACACCGCTGTAGATATTCCTTCTGACGATACAGTATAGTCCGAACCGAACAGGGAAAGACTTTCACAGACACGTTTTTTTCCTGGTTTTGTTTCTTTAACGCAGTGCGATCCTAACCGAAACTCGATCTAACCACCATGGGCATCCGCCGTAGACTGAGCTGGTCCTGCTGCTAGATAGGTGGCTTATAGTACACATGTGGTGATTATTGTTTGATTGAAGCATTCCAGTATTGGTAGTGTTTTTTTTTGTTTTTTGCTCGGTGCTCTGATAGGGTGGCTACCGCAACGAAATGTGAGACTTTTTCCTTTTTTTCGAGATTAGCGAAAAGGAATGTAGCAGAGAATTTAACGGCATAAAGCGGCAACATATGATGGATGCTTTTGAGAATATGTTCTACGTCGTCGGCATTTTCTCATTACACAGCTTTGTATATGACGATAATGGGACTTAGAGAGATGCCATGGACATGACCTACGTGAAATTCACACAAAAATCAAGTGCAGCATGTAGCGGCGCGGGTGGTGTAGTGGTAAGCGTGATTACCTCTCATCCCAGCAGGCCTGGGTTCAATCCCAGTCGGCGTCGCCGAGATGTTCTGAGACATAACATCTCTCATCACACCTTCCTTCGGAAGGGAAGTAAGGCCGTTGGTCCCTGGTCTATGAGATGATTGATGTGATGGGTCAATAGTGTGGGAGTTGGTGGCGTCGGTAGCATTTGTGCTCAGCACGGAAAACAAGATCGACGGAAAACAAATCGAGGAAAAAAAGTGCAGCATGCAGGCTCCTTCTTTAATCAAAATGAAAAGATCGGAACGGTTGTTTGTCGGCCATATCACGGATGATAAGAAAGATGGACGCATTTCTATTTGAGTAAACAGAGTGAGACTGCAGTTTAGCGCACCCAAAATAACTGACAATCAATCCATCAAGACGACAATTGCAATCCGAACCATCCTTCGTTTAAATCTTTTGCAAACATCTATAGGGTAACCGCACCAGTAGATGAGGTATGTTAGTTCAATGTGTTCCTATAGTGGCTTATGGAGTCTCCATAAGCCACTATAGGAACACATTGTACTACCGTATCTCCACTATTAATGTGGTTACCCTAGTAGAGTCATAAAACATTCAATTCGTAGGAATGATTTTATCATCAAGAGTAGATAATAGGGGAATGCACTCAAGAACAAGTATGCTATTTAAGGTCGAATCCATGCAATATTTCAGCAGTAATAGTATCAAATGAAGAAAAACAAACCTGTTAGGGGTAATGACGGCTTCGGCATTTCTTTACCTATTATCGTCTGGGGGTAAATGGAGTCTTAGAGTGTTATTTTTTTTTTTTCGAAAGCATGCTTTGATAAATGATGTATCTTCATGCAAAAAATCAGCGCTCAAAGTCCAACGATAATAGGTAAAGAAATACAGAAGTCGTCATTTACCCTATTAACTTGATTTTTTTTTGCTTTGTATATTCCTGACCTGTACTGACCGATCGAAGAAAAATATGGCACGTGCGCTGTCGGGTTTATAATTTATATGGTATAGAAATCAGTCTAAATCCATTCGGATGAACTTAAATTTTTTGTTCGACAGCTTTGCATTACGTGCTTATCAGTCGTAGAAAGAACGCTTGACAGGAAGGATTTGTAGTGTGCAAGTTAATTTCTGATTAGATCGCGACGAGCTGTCACATTCAAATAATTATAAGAAACGTTTTTACCATCTATTTCCGATTCTCATTTATAATGGAATTCAATAAAAACCATTATCATTTAGATGATAATTCACATTAGTTTAGTAGCTGGGGTGCTTCATTGAAAAGGAATGATGATTTTCTGATAGGCCACCCTCCAGTTCGATTGATGAAGGATTAGAGGTCTCACCAATCAATTGAATATTGTATAGATATTTGGTGAATTAGCATGGGAAATTATTGACATTCACTTACATTGCTTTAGCTTTGCAAGATGGCTTGAAAAAAAAAGTTGACTCATGGACTTTTAGTTAAGCAAGATTTATTCATGTTTTTATTATTGTCGAACAAAAATTCAAATTGATGCCTTACGTATCTTCTTATGCGTAATACATGAGCTGCCTTTGAATATTCTTATTGATGAATTCGTTCATGATGACTCCCAAATCGAGACCTTTAGGCATGTCCTTATCAAAAAAGAAATGGAGTTCAGCCTTTGCTGTCCCATGGTTGAACGTAGATAGGTCTTAAGGGGAGGTTTACTTGGATTTTTTCAAAAAAATTGATTTTTTTGCATAAAATGAAAGCTACAAGTGTGTAGAATATGTGGCCAAAAGGATTTTACGATCCGAAACATATTTAGCGAGTTATGGCGCTTTGAGTGAACCTTTGTCATGCGCGCTGAGGGACGCAACAAAAACTTTAAACGCGTTTTTCTCGAAACCATATTTTTTATAACAACTTAGAGCATAGGGCTTGAACAAATGATCCGATTTACGCTTTGAAGGATACTATTTTTTGTATGGCTTATACCTAAAATGAAAAAAAAAAATTGTTAGTTACTATTTTTTAAGCAAGGTCAAAGTGAGAAAAAAGGGGTAAAAAAAGCACTAAATTTTCAAATGTCCATAATTTGGTCAATTTTTGTCGGATTTCGTTCTAGTTAGGTATAAGCCATAGGGAAGATTATCAACTTTAACCACAATAAAAAAAAATCATTTCAGTTCACCACCAGAGGGTGTGCACTCGAAGTTCTGCAGCAAAACCTGACTGACACTCCTCCACGCGAGCCGCCATTTTGTTTTTTTACCTTCAAAAAATTTCCTAGTATTCAGGAATAGTGGAAAAGTATAATTATCGAAACCGGAAGTTCGTATGTCTTTTCATTCTCCTGAAAAAAAAATTCCAAAGTTCAACTGTTTTTCAGCCAAATCCAAGTAAACCTCCCCTTAAGTCGTCTAAGACCTGAAAACGACCTCTCAGCAGACGCTGACGAGATGGGAATGGTAAAGTAAATTCTTAAAAACTTAACAAACTCCGGCAAAAGATTTATTAAGTGAACTTCAGATTTCATGTAATCGAAGATGCTGGAAATGTTTTCCACACGGTTATCTGCTTCTTTACGAATCGTCAAAAGTATTTCTCTTTGCACCAGCAACAGATCCGAATCGATTTTATTACCATAGAAACTGATCAGTTTTGACTTATTATCGTATCGAAGCGAGAGGTAAGCGATTTCAGGACTTTGTCAATAATTTCTATGTACTGCTTCTCATGGGTTTCATTGATTGAGGTACTGACAATTGGAGCGTCGGCTTCATAACGCTAGGAATTTTTTATCTTCCTGGGTACTTTCGGTGATCCAACTTCTTCCGGTCTGTTTTTTGTTACTTTTTCCCGAATTTCTCCATAATCCTTTTTAGAGAAGCTTAGGCTAACTTTCAGCGTTTCGAACATCCGGTGTGCATAATAGAAAAAACGACGAAGCTTCATAGAAAAAAGGAAGAACTCCTTTTTTTTCCTAGGCTCGTTTTCCGACGATCTTGTTTTCCGTACTGAGTACCAATGCTACCGACGCCATAGAGGAAGCTCCCAAACCTGGACCCTACCTATCGACCCATCAACTCATAGACGGGGGACCAACGGCTTTACTTCCCTTCCGATGGAAGGCGTGATCAGAGATTTGATGCCTCAGAAAATCCCGGTGGCGCCGACTTAGATTGTACCCAGGCCCCAGCGTTGCCAGATTGTTTTAAAGCTTATCAATATCTAAGGTATTAAAAAATCGGTATTTGTCGGTATTTACGGTTTGACGGTTTTCTCAGTCTTTTTCAGGTTTTTTTTTTTTTCCTTTGGTTTGTTTTTTCCGTCGATCTTGTTTTCCGTGCTGAGTACCAATCCTACCGACGCTAGGAAGGCAGCTCCCACACCTGGACCCTACCTATCGACCCATCAACTCATGAACCGGGGACCAACGGCTTTACTTCCCATCCGAAGGAAGACGTGATCAGAGATGTTATGCCTCAGAACATCCCGGCGGCACCGACTGGGATTGAACCCAGGCCTGCTGGGGTGAGAGGTAATCACGCTTACCACTACACCACCGGCGCCGTTTAAATTATCGTTGTCCTCAAGTGGTGATCAAAATTGTGACTAAGTAGTGTTTTTTTTTTCAATTAAATATCATTAAATGAAACCAAAGTATGGAAAATCAGCGATAACAACGACTAAATTATTGAAAATAACGACAAACATTATTTTTCCTTGAAAAAGGCCACAACCCATGGCCGAAATGTCTGGCAGGTTACATCGTAGTCTTTACAGTGAAAACCGTTTATCAAAGCAAAATTTTAGCTTTTGAACTGTGTTTGAATTAGCTTCTGAATGGAGCTGAAAAAACATCCAGATAAAGACAAAAGAAACTCTCCTGGATGAAGTTCGAGAAAAGCTGGAAAAACATCCAGGAAACTTCCAAGACACGAATTGAAGACGAAAGAAATTTCTGCGAGAATTAATTGAACTTCCTGGAGACGCTGAGAGACACTTCCTAAGGTAGATTGAAAAAAAAAACATCTGAAGAAAGTTGGAAGCCCAAGGGGTTACGGAACAGTCGAATGAAATAAGGACATAATTCCGGAAGAAAGAGATTCCAGGGGGATGTTATAAAGATCCAGAAAATTTTCCTGGTATTCATAAAACATCCCTGAAGACTCCGCAATTTCCCTGAAGTTTTCGGAACATTCCTGAAATGCAATTAGGAATATTCCGTAATTCCTCAAAATTCCTTAAAAGTTCTTGTAATTTTCCTGAAATTAGGGGCTGTTTAGGAGTTCTGTGGTGATCCTCAAAGTGCTTGGAACTTCCCTAATTATAATAAGTACTTACCTGATGGGCGACGACTCGTTGAATTCAAATCTGCGTCGAACGAAGTAACCGTCTCCATTGGTCTCGGTCCTGAGCCAATCGCTTCCAGTCGCCTTGGACGTTCAAGGACCAAATGTCCTCCTCAACTGCACAAAGCCAACGCGAGCGTGGCCTACCCCGAAGCCGACGTCCTCTTCCGGGCTCCCTGCTGAATATTGACTTCACTTGACGCTCTTCCGGCATTCGTGCCACATGCCCAGTCCACTGTAGCCTGCCGTGTTTTATAAGCTTCACAATATCCATGCCGTTATATAC